ACAAAGTTGCCTAGTGGATGTTGGGCTTTAGTTTGTTTACCAGTTGGAGGAATAAAATTGAGCTTCATATATCTTAATAAAGATAAAAGAAGAGAAACAATAAGAGACAGAGCTGCTGGCAGTTTAGATGTCTTCTCTCCTGATGTAGTACTGTCTGACTTGCTGTCTACTGCAGCTTTGAATGAGTGAGAGTGGCCGCCATTAGCTGGTCTACTGGAGGCAGCTTGACAGTAGTTCCACAGTCCAATACTTGCTCTCCATTGAGAAACATCAATCATCTTGTAATTATTAGTAAAGTATAATTAAAATGAACTATAATATACATACCTCTATCACTGTTAATGATCAACTGTTGTAAGATAAAGAAATGAAAAGATACAGTCAAAAGTACAAGCCAGAGGTACAAGCCAATTATGCTGCAGTTGCAAAGAGGGCGTGTCTTCTTAACCACAAACCTAATTAACCACACCTCCTTATTAGCTCAAACAGCTTGAGTGAATTTGATCATAATAAAAGCAAAAAAGAGACACATAAATAAGAGTGGGACACAGTGAAGTTATATCATCATCATTATTATTGTTAATTTAAATCCATAATATTGAGACTTCACTGATAATACTCTAGCCAGTACTGGTGACCCACAATAGAATACTGTCACTGGTCCATATCCACTCTCCTTTAGATCTTTAAATATCTATTAATAACACATTAACCAACAACTCAACATAATTAATAATACATACACATGTATCAGTGCATTACTTAAGGAGGATATTACAATAGGACAGTGTATAACGTCAATTTTTAATCAAATGAGTGGGCGGTTTGACCTTTGACTCATGCTTTATGCTAGAGTTGAACTAAATTCTATTTCTCCAGCATTAACATATAGACCTAGTGTAATATTGTGAACCAATGATTAGACACTAACCATACACTAACTACTCCTATCCTATACATATACATGTACATGTACACCTGCTAATATTGGCGGAATATAATATACAGGTGTATTTTGTTATTTATTTATAATATTGTTGGTTGTTATATATATATTGGTACCATTTGGTTGTGTATAGTAGTCATTTAAGTATTATCAGTATAGACCAGTAATACTACACTACCAGTACGATCAGTTATACAGTTCACCATATCTCTCTTCTTTCACCCTCTCCCTCCCTCTCTCTCTCTCCTCCTATATTACCTTATCCCAGTTAGGTCTACCAGTCTGTGTCCTGGTCTTCAGTCCAGTTATAAAATCAATGTTCTTTTCTTTGTGTATCAGATCAAGAGCCATTTGTACTCCTAATGCTTTAACATCAGTCCTTTGTAAAGCTAATGTGATGTACATGTGCATATCAAGGAACCGATCCATTAGTGTTCCATATTCATTCTGTTCCATTTCCAGTTCATTCAGTAGCTCCATGACTAGCCACTCAAAGTGTCTCTGGTCACGATTGATCCAAATGAAATCAACCTAGCAACGATTATTAATAATTATCATTATTCAGTTTTAAAATGGTTGTAACTTGAAAAATTGAAGTTTGAATCAGCTCAAACTTTCTACATAGCATAAGGACATCAATTTGTATCAGAAAATGTAATAAAAATTTGGTATAATTTCAGGGCCATTAATGAAAAAAAGCATGGGCTACAGCTAGTACAGGGAAATTTTTGAAAATTAGCTAATTTCTTAAAATGGCTATAACATCACAATGTACATATGCATCAATACAGTCCCTTATGGCAACTGTTGCTATGGTGATGGTTTGTGTGGGCGTTTGTGGGAAACTTGTATGGATTCTGTTTTTGATTTTTTAGTGTTGTACCATTGAAAATGTATTTTTGACAACATATAATTATACAAACTACACTTTGGTACAAGAAAGTGTCTCTGTTATACAGAGGTGTTCCTTTATGTGGAGGTATTCTATACAGTAAGGAATGTAATTGGTACACTAGGTGCTGTCCGTTAAATGGAGGTGTACACTATAGAGAGTGTCCATTAAGAGAGACTATACTGTATACATGTACATTAGCAGGTACCAGTACATGTATATTATATATGTACATGTACATGTATATCAATGTACCTTGAATTCAGTCTTATATTACCAGTGCTTGCTATCTTGTGTGGTGGTATTTTATTGAACAGTTCAACTGAATTGTGTACTAGTTCGTTGATATCAAATTCCTCAGGAAACTTTGACAAGAAACCATGAATAGAAATCATCTCACAATCTTGTTCTAATACCTCAGACCTACGAGTGTTAATTAACTATTAATAATAGTTGATTTACCAGTTAGAAGAGAAAATACCAAAAATAGTTGAAAATTTATTGCACTGGTAGGCACATGTACATATGATGTGTAGAAAGTTTGAGCTGATTCCAACTTCAATTTTTTAAGTTACAGCAATTTAAAAAATAGGCTCAAATTTGAAAATACCCAAGGCTATAGCCCATGGTTTTTTTGAAAAAATGGCTCGAAAATCACCCAAAATTTTTATTACATTTTCTGATACATATTGATGTTCTTATGCTGTGTAGAAAGTTTGAACTGATTCCGACTTAAATTTTTCAAGTTACGGCCATTTTAAAAATAGGCCAAAATCTGAAAAATACCCAAGGCTATTATAGCCCATGGTTTTTTCAAAAAATGGCTCAGAAATCTTCCCAAATTTTTATTACAGTTTCTGATACATATTGATGTTCTTATGATGTGTAGAAAGTTTGAGCTAATTCCGACTCCAATTTTTCAAATTACGGCCATTTTTAAAAAAATGACTAAAATCTGAAAAATACCCAAGGCTATAGCCCACAGTTTTTTTTCAGAAAAATGGCTCCGAAATCATCCCAAATTTTATTATATTTTCTGATACATATTGATGTCCTTACGCTGTGTAGAAAGTTTGAGCTCACACAATAACTATTAATAACTATTAATAATGATTTTTAATAACTTACAACAGTATTGGCATCAGTGGGTGAGATGCTAAGAATAGATATTCATACTAAATAAATAAATAAATACATAAATAAATAAAATATACCGTAAAAGATGATTTATTGGTGGGGAATTAATATTAGCCATTGGTGGTTTTATGAAGAAATTGCTCAAGAAAACGCCAATATAAAATCCGCCATTTTGTTTCAACCATAGTATCTAGTGATGGGTGATTCCGAGTCCAGAGTATTCGATCCTTTGATTCCGAATGGAATCGTATTCGTATCAAAAGAGAAGTAGGAATCATTTGAAACAATTCCAAATCAAGCCACACCTAACCACACCTTTTACTATTAATAACAGTGAATAAACCAGTAGTTAATATCTTAATTATTCCTTATAATTGATACTACGTGGCTTTGCACATGCGCAGATGTGTACTCGGAATCAATATTCGATTCCAGTCTCAAAAGTATTCAGAATTGGAATCGAATGCAAATTTCTGGATTCGTCCATCACTAATAGTATCTATGTTTCAACAGGTAAATTCGCCAAATTATAATTAATTAATCTAATGGGTGTGGTTAGTTATTATAATTAATTAGTGGGTGTGGTTAATTAGAGTAAACTATTAATAATCGGCCACCACCCATTTTCGGACGCATGTTTTAGGAAAACTATTCATATCTTTCCTGTGAATGACGTTTCCAATTTATAATAATATTCATTTGGATACCGTAAATAGAAAATTTTACAGGCCGCCATTGTGGAGGTATTGCTGCACTGTTTCCAATGGAGCTCGATACACTTTCTGCCGTTTTGTAAGAAGAGCAAGCAGTTATAGTCTCAAAAGTTAAAAAATTGCAACCTTTATCTTTCTTTTCATTAGTCTGCAACTGTTTAGAGCCACTGGAGTGGCGTGGAGAAGTAGAATTGACAG